CAGCAGCAGCAGCAGCAGCAGCAGCAGCAGCAGCAGCAGGAGCATGTATAGCTCCTACTAGTTTAACTCTGCTGCAGCTGTCTCCTTTTCGTTTGTCTCTGCTGCTGCCTTCTATAGATGCAGCAATAGGGGGGGGCCTCCCCCCCGGTACCCTCACCGAGATAGGGGGCCCCCCAGGCAGCGGCAAAACAACGCTGCTGCTGCAGCTCTCTTCTTCTTACCTAGCAGCAGCAGCAGCAGCAGCAGCAGCAGCAGGAGCAGCAGCAGCAGGAGAGAGTGGGGGTGGGGGTGGGGGGGGCCCCCTAAACCCTAAACCCTGCAGCAACACGGGGGGCCCCCCCCCTACTAACACTCTGCTTATAGGGGGGCCCCCAAACCCAAGCAGCAGCAAGCATGCAGGTGGTGGGGGCCCCCCCCCCCATATAAACAACTATATACAAAGGGGGGGGGCCCCCCTGACCCCAGAAGAGACAGGGGGGCCCCCAGGGTCTGTTGTTTACATTGACTGCGATGGAGGGTTTAGGGCTGAGCGTTTTCTTAGTATAGCAACAGCTACTCTTGCTGCTGCTGCTGCTGCTGCTGCTGCTAGCAGCAGCAGCAGCAGCAGCAGCGGCAGCAGCAGCAGCGGCAGCAGCGGCAGCAGCAGCAGTAGCAGCAGCAGCAGCGGCAGCAGCAGCAGCGGCAGCAGCAGCAGTAGCAGCAACAGCAGCAGCAGCAGCAGCAGCAGAAAGGAGACAGCGGAGAGTTTATTGTCTCGTTTGTTTATTCTTCGTGTTTATAGTTTATACGAGCTCAACCAAACCCTGCGCTGTCTCCTTTCTCTATATACAAACAAAAACAACACAACAACCCCACCAACACAAACACACACACACACAAGCACAGGGGGGCCCCCATCAACACCAGCGGGGCCCCTCCTAGCTCAGGGGGGGCCCCCCTCCCCAGGGTACGGGGGCGGGGGCCCCCCAGGGTACGGGGGCGGGGGCCCCCCAGGGTACGGGGGCGGGGGCCCCCCAGGGTACGGGGGCCCCCCAGGGTACGGGGTAGGGGGCCCCCCAGGGTACGGGGGCCCCCCAGGGTACGGGGGCCCCCCAAGGGTTGGGGGGCCCCCCTGGTCAGGGGGGCCCCCCCGCATAGGTTTGATAGTAATAGACAGCTTAAATACTGTTATTAATCCTGCGGTGGTGGGGGGGGGCCCCCAGGGTGTGCGTAGGGCCCTGCTGCAGACGGTGCTGCTGCTGCAGCAGCTTGCTGCTGCTGCATCTGCTGCTGCTGCTGTTAGCACCAAAACTATCGCATCGAGGAATCAACCAGGTATGGATTGTCCTTGCTGCTGTCTTCTGCTGCTGCTGCTGCTGCTGCTGCTGCTGCTGCTGTTCTGCTGCTGCTGCAGTTCTGCTGCTGCTGCTGCTGTTCTGCTGCTGCTGCAGTTCTGCTGCTGCTGCTGCTGCTGCTGCTGCTGCTGCTGCTGCTGCTGCTGCAGCATGAAGCGCAGCAGCAACACACCCAATGAAATTCCCTTTAGCGTCTTCAGAATTAGAATATACCGCTCTCCCCATGCTGCTGTTGCTGCTGCTGTTGCTGTTGCTGTTGCTGCTGCTGTTGCTGCTGTTACTGCTGTTGCTGCTGTTGCTGCTGCTGCTGCTGTTTCTGCTGCTCTTCCTGCTTCTGTTTTTCCTTCTGCTGCTTCTGTTGCTCTTGCTGCTGTTGCTCTTGTTGCTGTTACTCCTCCTGCTGCTGCTGCTTGCTGCTGCTGCTTGCTGCTGCTGCTGCTGCTGCTGCTGGTGCTGCTGCTGCTGCTGCTGCTGCTGCTGCTGCAGGTGCTGCTCTTTCCTTTCTCGGTCGTGTGTGGCCTCACCTCCCCTCGCTGCGTCTTCATTTATCTGGGGGCCCCCAGTGGGGCCCCCAATCTCCGCTGCGGCAGCTGCAGCTGCTGCAGTGTTTGTATGCAGCAGATGCTGCTGCTGCTGCTGCTGCTGCTGCTGGTGCTGGTGCTGCTGCTGGTGCTGCTGCTGGTGCTGCTGCTGCTGCACCGCTGCTGCTGCATATATCACAAGACGGCCTTAGAGAGTGGCCGCACAACAGCTAACTTGCACACAGCAGCAGCAGCAGCAG